CCGCCCCCCCCGCCATTGACTTGCCCAGCCATTCCGGGCCACATCGCCGGGGGCTATTTCACGGTCCCGTTCGTCCGCGTGGGCGGCCCCGAGGATTTCAATGTCCGCACCAGCCTCGCCGGGGCGGTCTACCATAACGACAGGTCGCCGTGGGACCCCCCCCCCTTCGGCCCGTCAGAGGTGGCGGCCAACTACCTCAGGATCATACGCCTGGACACCCTCCCGGAGTTCGCCGCTGTCGCCCGCGACGAGGACGAGTTCCTGGCGGTGCTCGTCAGGCCTGCCTCTCCCCTCCGACGGGCTCTTTGCTCCGCTGCCCGGCCGAGACCGCCCGGCACGACAGCTGGGCCCTGACAAAAATGTGGCAGCATGCTCGCCGCCACATCGACTGGCTCCAAGAAAATTCCCAGGCCCGGGCGGAGGCCTGGGACAGGACCTGGGGCCTGGGCCGACTGCCGCGCCGCGCCTGGCACCCGGCCTGGGAACGGCTCAATTTCGACACGGGCGACGAGGACGAGGATCCGGCAGTCGCCATCCTGCCGGAGCAGCTCGCCAAGATCCTGGGCCCTCGCCCGGTCACCGGGAGCCGACGGAGATGGTCCCGTACGCCGAGCACGCGGCGGGAATCCACCGGCGGGACCCATACTATTTGGCGCGCCTGGGGCCCTGGTCCAGGGTGGTCCATCGCCCGGCCAGCCCCCACCTCGACGACGGGATCGCGGAATGCGGTCGCCGCGTCGAGCAACGCCGCCGGGCCCTTATGTACTGGGCCCCGCCTCCCGTCGAGCAGGGCGGTCTTCCTTGGAGTGGTGCGTCGTCTGCTGGTGCGGCCGCAACCTCAGCCGGGTCGACGACGAGGTGGTCAGCGAGATGGAGTGACGCCGGGCCACGTCGCCAGGCGGCCGGCAGAGACCCTCGGCCCGACCGGGCCGATCTTCCCGAGCGCCAGGGAAGAGGAAAAGGAGTGCCCGTGTGGCCGCCCTCAGTTGTCAGGGTCACCTTGCGACCGGGTCGCAGCCTTTTCTTGACTCCCTGCTGGTCGTGCCTGCCTCCCGCCCGCCCTCCCTTGCCCGCCTTCCACTGGTCATGGCCGCCCCGTCGTCCTCGACCGCCGCCCTCGTCGACTTCCGCACCTTGGCGGCCGAGGCGGGGGCCCGACGAGGTTCGAGGCCACCGTCGTTCACCCGCTCCTGGCGGGCTTTCGCGACGCCTCCTCGGGGACTGAGTTTGTGGTCCATGAGGGGGAGCGCCCGGCCGTCCGGGCGGTGCTGCTCCACATGTACCTGGAGGCTCGGACACAGTGGGAGGCCTGGTCCGCCCAGCGGGCGGCGGCCATTGGGGCGATCACGCCTCCGTCTCCCTCGGCATCCGCCCTGCCCGCCTTGCCGCTTCCGCCCGTTGCCGCCGCAGGCCCGCCCCCCAAGTCCTTCGACGCCTGGAACCCCTGGTCAAGGCCTACAACGACAAGCTCCTCGATGGCAAGCCCAGGTCATTTCCCACGAGACGCCTGGCAGGGGCGGATGCGGTGCTCGCCAGGATCTACCACGAGCACACCGTCTCTAAGGCCTACACGCCGCTCCTTCTGGGCGAGATTTTGGCAGCCAGGACCTGGACATCCGGGAACGAGCTAAATCGCCTGGCGGTTCCCCAGAAGGAGGCCGGGTCCCTCCACCTCGTCGGGGGAAGCCTAGTCGCCGCGGACGACAAGCGGCCGTGGGAGCCTCGCGGAGTCATGTCCGTCGTGGATGGGCTGGAGGCGGTGCGCCTGGCCTGGATCCTGACCACGGTCAGCGACGAGGGCGACGTCAACGACTAC